GGTTGTTATGAGGGCAAAATTAAATTCTTTAAAAAATGCTATGTAATTATCAGAGATCTTCATCATTGGAAAGAGAACATTTTGATTATGAGTACAGACTCTGGAGCCAGATTGCCTGGGCTCAAATGTCAATTTCGGGCAAGTTACTCAGTCTAATCTCTCTGTGTCTTCGACTAATAGTAGTACCTACCACATAGTGTTGCCATGATTAAATGAGTTAAGATGTATAAAGACCTAGTGCATGGTAAACAGAAAACTCTCTGGAGAAGTTTGTTAGGCCTTAGTGATGGAGTGCTCACAGAGGATTATTGAGAAGGAGATATTTAGGAAAACTTCATAAATGAATAGATGTTTTATGTAAGGACCAGGTTGTTGGGCCTTGTAGGCAGTGATTATAAGTTTGGTCTTAAGACTGTTAACATTTGAAGGTTCTTTAAGCAATTCAAGTGGAGTTATTAAGTTAGGCAGTTAATACACAGATCTAGCACTTACAGGATAGGTCAGAGGTATTTAGATGATAACTGAAACTATGGGCAGGTGTTAATTACCTACGGGTAGAGGGAAGAATTAGAAAATAAGTAACCTTGAGAAACTCCAACATTTGATGACCAACTAGAAGTTGTTGAATCTGCAAAGGAGTCTAAGAAGAAATGTTCCCTGAGTGGATGAAGGGGTTGGAAACTAGACTGAAGAGGCTTGAGATGTGAGTGGAAATGAGATGAAGGCAAGGACAGGCATCTCTTTCAGGAAGCTTGGGAGAGGAAGAGTGGTGGGAAGGCCATAGCTGGTGTGGTAAGTGGAATCAAGACTTACCCTGCTTTCTTACATTGGTTCTCTCTCTTCCTCTCCCTCTCCCCACCCCTCCCATACTCACACGCACACACACTTTTGAAGAATCATTCAAATGGAGCCTTCAAGTTTGAGAGCTCCTGGCTAAGTCTCTCTATAAAGTCTCCAACTGAGGTTGCAGCTTACTAGGACAGTGGATACCATGCAAGTATAGAATAGTGGAAAGACAGAATGATATGGAAGGCGCTATCCCTTTGTTTGTAGAAACCCTTAATGGTGTCCCTGGGCAGATTTGCTCATTGCATTTTCTGATCCATAGGTCAGAGTGCAGGGTTGTTATGAGGGCAAAATTAAATTCTTTAAAAAATGCTATGTAATTATCAGAGAAAAGGCCATTTTACTATTTCATTTTACAAATAGTTCATTTTACTATTTTGCCAGTGTCTATGCTAGATCCTTTGAATTCAAAAGATAAATATGATACAGATTTTTCCCTTTAGGAACTTAGAGTAAAATTCATATATTCCTATCATGAAATAATAGAAATACCAAGTTTGATGAAGACTTGATAGGTACTAGGCATGGGGCTGAGGGCTCTGCATATATTTATTTATTTAAAAAAATTAAGATATCATTGATATACCATCTTGTGAAGATTTCACACTAGCAACATTGTGGTTACTACATTCACCCATATCATCAAGGCCCCCTCCCACCCCATTGCAGTCACTGTCCATCAGTGTAGTAAGATTTTATAGAGTCACCACATGTCTTCTCTGTGCTATACTGCCTTCCCTGTGACCCCCCCTACATTATGTGTACTCATAATGCCCTTTAATACCCTTCTCCCTCCCTCCCCACCCCCCACCCCCACTCCTCCCCTTTGGTAACCGCTGATTCCTTCTTGGAGTCTGTGAGTCTGCTGCTGTTTTGTTCCTTCAGTTTTGCTTCATTGTTATACTCCACAAATGAGTGAAATCATTTGGTATTTGTCTTTCTCCCCCTGGCTTATTTTACTGAGCATAATGCCCTCTAGCTCCATCCATGTTGTTGCAAATGGTACGATTTGTTTTCTTCTTATGGCTGAATAATATCCCACTGTATATATGTCTTTATCCTTTCATCTACTGATGGACACTTAGGTTGCTTCCATATCTTGGCTATTGTAAATATTGCTGCGAAAAACATAGGGGTGCATATGTCTTCATGAATCAGGTATCTTGTTTTCTTTGGGTGAATTCCTAGGAGTGGAATTCCTGGGTCAAACAGTATTTCTATTTTTAGTTTTTTGAGGAACCTCCATACTGTTTTCCACAATGGTTGAACTAGTTTACATTATCACCAACAGTGTAGAAGGGTTCCCCATTCTCCACATCCTCACCAACATTTGTTGTTCCTAGTTTTTTCTATGTTGACCATCCTAACTGGTGTGAGGTGATATCTCATTGTGGTTTTAATTTGCATTTCCCTGATAATTAGTGATGTGAAGCATCTTTTCATGTGCCTGTTGGCCATCTGAATTTCTTCTTTGGAGAATTGTCTGTTCAGCTCCTTCTTAATTGAGTTATTTGTTTTTTAGTTGTTGAGGTATGTGAGTTCTTTATATATTTTGGATGTTAAATTAACCCCTTGTCAGATATATCATTTACAAATATATTCTCCCATACTGTAGGATGCCTTTTTGTTCTGCTGATGGTGTCCTTTGCTGTACAGCTTTTCAATTTGATGTAGTCCCCTCTGTTCATTTTTGCTTTTGTTTCCCTTGACTGAGGAGATGTGTTCATGAAAAAGTTGCTCAAGTTTATATTCAAGATATGTTTGCCTATGTTTTCTTCTATGAGTTTTATGGTTTCATGACTTACATTCAGCTGTTTGATCCATTTCGAGTTTACTTTTGTGTATGGAGTTTGACAGTAATCCAGTTCCATTCTCTTACATGTAGCTGTCCAGGGCTCTGCATATATTTATTAATCCTCACAACATATGTTTATTAATCCTCACAATTAAGATATTATATCTTCACTTCATTCTCATTTTTAGATGAAAACATTGAAACTCAGAACAACTAACTTCTCCATACCTTATTAGTAATTAACATCTACTTAATAACAGATGGAATTTGAACCCAGCTCTGTTGGCCTCCCAGCTGTTGATTACTTTATTCCATCTTGCTGCTTATGTTCTGTGTATCATTTAAAGATGCTTTAGGCTTTTTTCAGTTGTAAATGATAGAAGCACAATTCAAACTAGCTCAAGTAAATAGGGAATTTACTGATATAATAATATTATTGAGATAAGCTACAGTTTACAGGTACAGCCAGCCCCAGGGCCTTAAGCAATGTTATCAGGGCCTCAGCTCCTCCTCCACTTAGCTCTGCCAGGTTCTCTTTGTTGGCTTTATTTGCAGACAGGATTCTCCATGGGACTAAAAGAATAATAACTATTGGCTGTCCCAAACCAGTATAATCCTTAAAGCTATGGTTGTAGAGGAAGAAATGGCCTTTTCTTTTCTTTTTTTTTTTTTCAGGGAGTCCCCTGTTTTTTAAGCCTGCATCATTGCTTATCATGGGGGCTGAAGGTACAGAGTCAGTCCTACCTAAGTCACATGGACCAGGGGGGAGGCATCCTCAAAGAAAAAGGGGTGATACTTGCCATTGTGTGTTTGTCAGGTAAAGTATTTCACACATGATACTTCAAATTAATCCAACAGTTGAGGGGTTGAGGAAATCTAGCTAAGAATATTGTTCAATGCCAGGACCACTACCCGTTTCTTCAATTTCACGTTCATTATTCTTTCCTCCGCACCACAGTTTCTGGTGAATGAGTTACAGGCATAATCATACTTCTTACCCATACTTCTCACCAACTAAGATTTAGTCTTTCATACAAATAGGTCACAGCTGAGAAAAGTTATCAGTAGCAATGGACTATGCTTCCAACATCCAGAGTTGGTTGCAAGCAAGGGAGAGATTCTTGGCAGGCACAAGGGGTGTGGAGGCAGTAATGTGTGAGAAAATGATATACGCCAAGTGTCTTATTTCAAAGCATTAATTTCATTTTCCTTTGAAGGTGAAGGCTGAAATATTAGACATGGCAGATGATGCATTTGATGATGAATACCTGAAATGCATTGACAAGATGGAAATCAAGTATGTTCCCCAACTGCTCAAGGAGGAAAAAGCAAGCCATCAGCTCTTGAAGGATGTGTGGGAAAATGCAAAAGCCAAATGGGAAGCCCAGAAGATGCAGCTCTCTGTCCCTGTAAATTTTAAGGATAACCATGGAATAGCCCTGATGGCATACATTTCTGAAGCCCAAGCGCAAACTCCCTTCTACCATATGTTCAGTGAAGCAGTGAAGGTGGCCGGCCAGTCTCGAAAGGATTATATCTATGGTTTCCAGTTCAAAGCTCTTCATTTCTACTTGAGCACAGCCCTGCAGCTGCTGAGAAGACCTTGTGAGGACAGTCACAAGAGTGTGGTATACAGCCTGAGCCAGGGTGCTTCATTTCCCTCTGGAGAGCCAGCCCAAGCCCGATTTGGCCACTTCGCCCTGGCATATGCAGTCCAGCCTCAAGCTGCCAGCAACCAAGACATTCTGTTAACTATCCACACGTGCTTTGCAGTTGCCATTGAGAACTTTTTTGATAAAGAAAGTGAAAGAATTGTTTTAATACCTCTAAATGAGGTTTTTCATGTGTCACAGGGTGGGACTGGCAACAATCTTATCCTTCAGAGCACGAACAAGACCTGCAGTCATTACGACTGTGCATTTCTAGGTGGTAAGTGTCTCTGTGCCGTCTGTGCTTATCTGGAGGGGAGGAGTGGGATTATGAGGCCCAGGGAGCGGTCAGGGAAGAACCTCAGAGGTGTTTGAGATGAGAAATGACATTGGAGATCTCCAGTCCAGCTCCTTTCATACTGTTACTTTCTTCTTCCATAATTTAATTTTATTAAATAATACATTTACAATAGTATTGGAACGATTGTATTGTAAATAGTATTGTTTTTTTTTTAAAAAAAAAAACCTCTCTAGAAGACAATGATTTTCAACCAGGGGCAATTTTGCCCTATAGGGTCATTTGGCAGCAGCTAAAAACATTTTCAGTTGTCACAACTATCCCTAGTCGCTACTAGCATCCAGTGGTAGAGGCCAAAGACACCACTAAGTAATGCAAAGAGGGCCTCCGTAACAAACCCTATTCCAAGGCTTACAATGAAAAATAGCACTCCCTGCCCCACCCCTTCCCATGCCCAATTCCCACTCCTCAGTGGCATCCATTGTATTTTTTTTTTCAGGTACTTACTGTTGAGTTTCTAAGTAAATAACATGTCCTTGGTTTTTAAATTTTTAGATATCATCTATTGACTTCTCTTTATAGAGAATGAGTATTTAGCTCTCATGTACCCTGCGTTAGGAATTCTTTATTGCGTTCAGCTGTAATGGGAAACCTGCCTGATAGCTCTTGATGGAATTTAAGTCTAGGCTGTCCCAAATTGGTACAGTGGCTCCACCACACCATCAGTAACTCAGGCTCTTTCTGTCTTTCTGTCCCACCAGTCTTAGTGTGTGTTTTGCTGATGCACGTCTGCAGGGTGACTGTTGCAGCTGTAAGCAATCAGTCTGCATTCAAGACAAAAGAAGGGGAAGGGAAAGGCTGCTAAATCTGCCTATTTAATCAGGAAACTAAAAGCTTTCCCAAAACTCATATTAGACTTGTGATTTACGTATCATTGGCTAGAACCTACTTGTCATAAGTACAAGAAAAGTTTGGAAAGGGGGTGATTAGCTCTTCTAGTCTCTATAGTGTATGGAGGCAAGGGAGAAGGGAACTAGAGAGAGTTGTTAGGTCAGAAACCAGAAGTACCTGATAACCACCACTCTCCTCCTCAATGCTTGCACATTTCCCCCTGCCCACTCTCCCACTGGAATAAAGACTGGTGCCTTTTCTATCCCAGGGTTATTAGTTCTAGTATGTTTTTTTTTGTTTCCTTAGTTTTTATATATCATCAGTATTCCAGCCCCAAATCCATAGAAACATAAAGCTCCTTTAATACATTCAGACATGTCAGATACATTTCTTTTTCTGGGTGTACTCCTGGATTCCCCCATCACCTGCTTTATGCTATGCTCTCTAGGTCTGCGGAATGTCCTGAAATCGCTCCTCTGAGGCTTTCTTTTCCTTCCTCCCTGTGAGGAATCTCCTGTATCTTGGATTTCCTCCTCTTACTTGAATTACTTCATTGTTGGCAGTGGGGGTGGGGGTGGGGGGTGGGATAAGGGTAGTCAGATGTTTTGTGAGAAAAGGAACATTGAGGCATGTTTTCTAAGACTTTGTCTGAAAATCTACCTTTAGGCTTGAATGATAGTTTATAAAGATTTGTATTTGTTTTGGCAGTTATTTTCCTTGGAATTTTGGAGATATTGCTCCATTGTCTTCTGGTTTCTAGCATTGCTGAAAAGGGTGAAGCCTTTCTAGTTAATAAAACTTTGAATGAGGCCTGTTTTTTTTCTCTGCAAGGTTTTATGATGTTTTCTTTATCCCCAGCTTTCTGAAATTTTACAGTGTTGTGCCTTAGTTATGTGAGTAGAGTTAACAAAACCCTTTCTCCTTCCTCCTATGAGAATGGCCTCCTGTTGATCTTCTAGCACTGTTTCTATGTAATCTATCAAAGGTGGAAGGACAACTGTGTAACCATGCAACGCTGCCTATGGTAAACATAATCCTGGCATGGTAAAGTGCATCTGAGCTGGGAGGATTGTGAATGAACTATAAATACTTGGGAGGAAGCTGTAGCGTGGACATTCCAAATGTGGTATATTCTTCCTGCTGAGCTCTGGACTGGCTGGTGTAAGAGATGGACTAGTATAAGAGATGGTGGCATGAGGATGATGGCATAAGCTAGGATGGTTCCTGCACCCCCTGTGTCCTCTTGTTTCTTTGTACCCTTGTTGTAATTCTGGGGGCTAGAGAACAGCTTTGCATTGAAGGGATCTATCTGATGCTGCCCTGTTGCTGAACAGTATGCTATATTCCCTGCCTTGCATTCTCAGCAAAACTGAGGCAACTGGTAAGGGGATGGCCTTTTTGGGTCTTATGAGTGTGAATGTCTAGCTCTAGATCCCAAAATGCGTGACTGCTGGTCAAGCAGAGTAAGTATTGCAATAGGGCTTCAGCAAAGTGAGATAGACTTTTCAACCTTGACTCACTGCGGTCAATGCACAATAAGACAAAACAAGAACAGGTGGGGAAGTGCTCATGAGGCATCTTGCCTGGGTGGGGGCTGATCCACTAATGACTTCATGGCAGAGGCTTTATGGCCCTTGAGGTGCCTGGGACACAGAATTGAAGGAAGTCCTCACTCTCAGAGTAAGTACACTTGCACCATCTCCACTTACATAATCCTAAGAGTGAGGGCCACCTTATATTTTGTGCTCTAGACACTTCAGTTGTCTCAGTCTAGTCCTGGCCCAGAGGTGCAAGTGGGTGAGACTAAACACCTTGAGGGGGCAGATGAAGACTGAGTGGTAAATTTGTGTTGAGGGGAAAAATGCACATTCCCCTCGCAACCATATGTTGGACTTGACCAAAAACCAAGTCATTTGGAGCTGGTTAATACCAGCTCATGGGAGCTGATCATGGACATGCATCTTTCAATTTCCTTGTATAGTAGCTTGAAATTGGCCATGGTTGAGAGTTACACCATGGAAATCAGCAAACACTACAGCAGGTCAGGAGACCCACTCCCGCAAACCCATTCAGCTTTACCCACACATAACAGCCAGAAACCCAGTTGCAGTTGGGCTGGCAGTGATACCACTTTTGGCACTCCTAATGCATTTAGCCAAACACTGAATTCTGGGTTATACCAAAACCCAGTCTGCAGTCCAGGCCAAATCAATCACTGGTATCTGGCTGATGGACAGAATGGGCAGGGGAGCCCACAGAGTCCATGTTTGTGAGTGTGATTATGATGAACAAAAGGGGTGGAGCCATTGGGTTGATGGAGAAGGAGCCAGGACTCAGACCTGCATGGAGGCGTGGCATTGGGAGCCAGGGTGAGGAAGTTGGGGAGGGAATGGGCACACCTCTGTGGGCCTCTTTCAGGTCAGGCAGAAGCTCTACAGCAGGTTACCGTGGAGACCAGCCACAAGGGGAAATCTCTGTCGGCTCTCGTGTGCTCTTTGTTTGGCAAGCTCTGACCAACGCCATACGCTTCGTGTTGAGTCAGTGCCACTACAGGGTCTTACCAATGTCCTCTGCTGCCATCTCGTGATGACTAATGGGGACTCAGGGTCAAAAATTCCCTACAGTGAGCATTAAAAGCTAGGCTGTTAGAAACACCGTGAAGGATAGTAAGCAGGGGTTTTAAAAGCTCAAAATAATCAGAACCTTGATGCATTGTGACTGAATATAACTCTGGATGAAAAAAAGGCTTTTTCTAAAGGGGATAAAAAAATTATACTGTGCTAAATTTAATCCTAACACAGACCTGTTTTACTGTTTCAAACTTGCTTATGATATCCAAGATAAAAAATTGGGGACCTTACAAAAAAACTAGTTAGCTAAAAAAAAATAGTTCAGTTGGTTAGGAAGTAGAGAAAGATCAATGTCCCATTAGAAAATACAATCCTTTAATTGTGGTGGTCTAAGATACTAGTCTTGGTATTTAATTCAAGATTATGTAAATGAACTGTGAGTAAATGGTAACAAAATCCTTTTTCCTTCCTCATGGGAAAATTACCACAGGCTCATCTTCTTCTGTGCTCTTTTTCTAGGAAATTTGATAAAGGTGGAATATCAGCTGGTAATCAGGCTATATTCTTTATCTTTAAAAATGACCCCATAGGAAAACTGCACCTGGATTGGGAAGACCATAGATAAATTATAAATACCTGATGGGAAGCCATACCTTTGGGGTTCCTTGAACCTTATAGTGCAGATATGATAGAAGGTTTATTGGAAGAAAACTTGTAAATAGAGAAACAGTAAAGCAGACATCATCCCCTGAACTCTCATTATTTCACTGAGCTGGCTGGGCATTGATCTTCTGGCATTTTGGACAGTGTTCCTGTAGAGAGGGGCCAGGCAGTGTATAAGTAAATATGCTCTACAGATTAATTAATAGAGTCATGGAGGCAGGGAATATCAAGGTTCCCTGGCTGGAAAATGACCTTGTTAGAAAGGAGGAGCCCCTGAACTCCAGTGGCTGGTATTAGTCTTTTTTGTTGAGCTTACATAGAACTGTTGAACCAGGTTTCTGCTAAGCTTAATCAAAAGGGAGAAAGCAGATGAACCTACAAAACTATCTATATTTTTTTAAGATAAATCTATCCCTAGACCTTGAGGGCTCATTAAATATAAGTATCTCCACTGGTTCTGATTGACACTCTTTTTTAGCCTTCCCTGACAGGAGCTAAGTTCCTGTGCTGTTGGAATTGTCTGGGACTGTGGGGCACTGGTAAGATACTATATGTACATAGGCCAGATAGGAAGTGACATATCCATCACCATGAGAAATTCACATTATGAGTCAATGCCTAGAACAATTCAGAAGGCTGTTCAGACTGTTCATCCATATTTGTAGGAAAAGGGAGAACACTTTACCACCAACTCATTCCAAACTTTCACCCACCAGACTCGTTCATCCCTATTGTATCAGTCAGTGTTCAGCCAGAGAAATAGAATCAGCAGGAAATACATATTAAGTCACTAATGGCAAGGCATTGGCTTACACAATTGTGGCTGGCAAGGCAAGTCTGGAATCTGTAGAGCAGGAAAGGCAGGCTGCAGGTCATGGCCATGAGCTGAAGCTACTGTCCACAGGCAGAATTTCTTCCTCTGGAAAGCCCCAATTCTTCTCTTATGGCCT